TGGGGGGGCTGCAGAGCCCCTGCGGGCACAGGAGAGTGGCCCAGCAATGCCAGGACCACGGGGCGCTGAGGACTGGTGCTGTTGTTACAGGTAATGCAGACCAGGAGAAGGAAACAGGCCAGAAGGGCAAAGAGGTGGGGTAGCAATGGGATGGACAGACCTTTGGGGACATGTCTGGGGCAGTGCAGCCCCATGGGGAATGGCAAAGGTTCCATGCAGACCCCAAACATCACTGAGGCAGGACCATGGCAGGAAAACCTGGTCGTTCAAAGAGGGGTCCTGCCCCCAGCCTGGTGAGCACCCAGCAGAGCTGGGCTGGAGCAGAGAGCCCATTCCCACCCCGAGGTGCTACCCAAGCCCCCAGGCAGGGGATTGGTGACATCCCCCACACTGCCAGGCTGAGGGGTGCGCTCAGTATTTAAGATCCTGTGCTATGGGTGCTGAGGACCCAAACAGAATCCTTACAGGGTGCTGGAGACCCCCGGTGACCACAGGTATTGGCTGAGGGGAGGATGCTCAGACCTCTCCCAGTCAAATCCTGCCAGGCATAACTCAGCAAGACGCTGGCTGGGACCTGCCTGGCAGAGGGACGGTGCCGACTGCCAGCTCAGAGTGGCTCTGCAGAAAGTCTGGGGGGAGGGCAGCCCAAGGGACAGATGCTGGGAGCCCTCCTGCTTCTGCGGCAGCCATTTCTCCCTCACATGCAGCTCTGCACCTCAGTTTCCCCATCTGGGTCAGCGTCTGACATGGGAAGCAACTGGGAGGAGGTAATGCTAAATTAATGGATTTTGAATGAATTCTGTGGGGGAAGAGCAGGGTATCACCGCTCTGCCTGGGGTCCCACCTCCTCTGTCAGAGGACACGGAGCAGGGAAGGAGCCACAGCACGTTGCACGAAGAAGTGCAAAGCAACACGACCAGCGAGCTGTATGTGAGCAACCGTGCCTGGCTGGTCTGGTCATGCCGGGTGTGCTGCTCCAGGATGCATTTCTAGTGGGGTGCGTAACGCTGCTGCACCCAGGGGCACCACGGGGGCCTTGGAGACCATCCCTCCGAGCAGGACCCCAGTGCTAGTCAGAGCAAACAGCCTTCCCCTCTGCTCCCACAGCTCCCACCAGCCCTCCCCAGGTCCTACGTGCTGTCAGCTCTTTCCCACCCCTCCTGTCCCTCTTTCGGG